AGAGTAATAGTTATGCTTTTTCTGATCAAATTATATGATGTTTCATATACGAATAACAACAAATTATCAAGGATATGTAATATATTACACGCTTGTACATAAAATAAAAGAAAGTAGAAATATCAGGTGAATATTATTAGTTGTAATCTCTTGCTAACAAACGTTAAGCAAACAAGAGAGATACGGATTCATATTTAATTATCATATGGGAAGCAACAACGGTAAACAAGATGGTAAAAAAGAAAATTATAAAAGAAGATCAAGTTTTAGAAGAATATTACATAAATCATCACGTGAATTAAAAAATTCATCACGACCAGTAAGTTATGCAGGAATAAATCAATATTGTGAAGAACAACGAACTTCAACACGACCAATATCAATGATTAATGTTATTCCATTCAATAGATTAGAAATAAGTAAGAATAATTATTTAATTTATAGTATTAGAAAATTAATATTAGTATTATGATATTTCTTTAAGAAACATCTATTAATAATATCGATATTATTTCTCAAGAACCAATATCTGATATGAATCCGATATTACAATATTCTTCTCAAATAATAATAACAAGTAAGTTATAACAAATATTTTTTTTTTTAAATTATTTTCACTGATATAATTTTTAGATGAATCTCCGTTGCAAACTACAAGTATTTATGAGGAAGATATCGAGCTAACTATTACCAACAAGTAGGTAAGGTTCATAATTTTATATAAATATTTATATTTATTTTATAATTTGATTAGATTAGATGAAAATAATTGGAAATTTTATATACCATTAACACTTGAAAAAATTCGTTCAATAACAATATTAAAAGATTTAATATATGAACGTATGATGAATACAGAATTCATTCATATATTAAATCGTTTAATTCCATTAGATAAAATTGAGGAAAATGAAGGATTTCTCAATTGGTTTTTTCATGAAATAGAATATCATATGCATTCATATGATGATGATAATGATAATAATACTACATATTATCATAAACCATTATTATTACGTTCAATAGAACAAGATCGTTTTGATTGTACAAAATATTTACTTGAAAATCAATTATTACTAAGTAAATTAGATATAAATAATATAAATGATCAAGGTCGTCATTGTCTTTTAATGCTTGCACATAAAAATGGTCCCATTGATTTAATAAAATATCTTTTAACACGTCATTTATCATGTTTAGATACAAATAAAATTGATTTAAATAATTATAGTTCATTACATCATGCATGTCGTCATTTTAATTTATCTTTATGTGAAATAATTTTACCATATACAAATAAATATATATTACAAATGGAAAATTCTGAATTACATACACCTCTTGATTATTGGCTTGAATGTTTATGTTCATTAAAAAAATTAAAACCAACATATATACAACATTATATAGATAATTTACGTCTTGATTATTTATTAAATAATAAAGATTTTATTTTAAATATTTATTTTCTTCAAACAATAATTAATCGTGGTGGACAATTAACTAAATTACCATTACGTTATATACGTTCTGTATTACCACAATTAAAATTTGAACAAAAATTATCTTATATTGAACATTATGTTAATATTTGTTGTATATTATATAAAAATCGTTTATCAACATTAATACATAATTATGATCAATTTAAAATAAGTATACAAGCAAGTGATATTCTTACAGAATTAATATGTGCATTAGGAAGTGTACAAGTTGAAATACAAAATCGTTTAGTTGAAAATGCTTGTTCAGAAAAAGATCAATTAATTAAAATAAAAGAACATGATATGTTACAATCAATTATTCGTATGTTATATGGAAAATTTTTTCGTCTATTTGAATGTATTTATAATAATCCAGATGTTAATGTAAAAAATTTTCATTTTGAACATATATTTCGTCATGTTTGGATGTATTGGAAAGAACCTATTAAAATATTTATTAAACAATCAAAAGAAAAAAATTCTTCATTGAAATCAATATGTCGAATAAAATTATTTAAATATTTAATAAATTATCCAAATGATATACAAAATTTACAAATTAATACTTTTTTAAAACAATTTCTTGCTTTTGATAATCAATTTTTTGTTATTGAAAGAAAATTTTAATTTCAATAAAGAATTCTTTTTCTTTTCTCACTAATATTATTATTATTATTATTTTGATTGAAATTTTAATTAAAGTAATAAACGATTAGATAATTGCATGATAACTTTCGAAATATTTTATTCATGATTAGAAAATGATATGCAATTGAATTCTTCTAGTAAAATAATATTAAGTTATTCACCATTAAGAATGTAACAGTTTCCACCTAAGAGTGTGTAGAAAAACTTTTTTTTGGATACAAACTGAGTCGTCTGAAAAAGACATTGGCTTGCACTGTCGTCGGTATATTACGGTACCTGTAAGTATACTCTTAAAAGAATTCTGGTACGGAACTTTAAAAAGGCTCTCCTAGTGAATACAAACTTGGATCCTTTTTATTGGTTTTATATTTTCACTCTATGGAACTTTCACAAAACTTGATGCTTTTCTCATGAAAGCTTTTAGGTTCCTCAAGAGAAATATTTGTCAGAGTACATTAACGGTATCGGGGCAGTAGGTTGTTGGTCAGAAGACAGTTTTGAATCACATCAGTAATGTTTCTCTCTCTCTCTCTATCAGCAATAGAATGATGATTTTTGAGACTACTCAGTTCTACACAAAAACAATTATCTATAGAGACCGATTCCAACTGGCAGAGCTTTTCAATAGTTATTTAGTTGATTTAATCTTAAGTTTTTAATAAGCATTTGTCAAAGTCTATTCATCATCTAACTTTTCAATTTGCTGAATTTCAAATGTTAAATGGTTTTAAAATTTAAATGCAGAAGTATATTATCAATAGAATTTACATAAATTATCTTGAATGCTCTGAACTGTCTACTCAATGAACCGGATTTGACAAAAACCTCGCGGTATTTTTTTTTTAATATTATAAATATCCGAGTTAATAAACAGTAGATAATTCTAAGTTTCCTTTCAGAAAATAGACCATTTGATTCTCTACAATATTCTATTGACTTCAATTTAAAATAGCTGAAAAGAAAATTTTTTATAGATTGTATTCTCCGATTCAGAGCATGAAGTCTACTTGTCTCATACATTGTTTTTTGCAAATTATGAAAGAATACGCAAGACATTTGGTTTTTTACACTTCCAGTCATCACTTAATGTGCTTTCATCAAGATTTGTAAGTGCTTGATCATAATCTATACTTTTGAGTGAACACTAAATCATATGAGTTACTAGTAGAACAAAACTAGCTTTCGTTACAGTAATCGAATCTTACTTCTGGCTGCAGTTTTTTTTTACATGTCTACTATGTTTGTTGGAAACAGATCGTTAAAAACTAGATATAAAAAATTTCTTTACTATTTAATTTTAGATGAATAGAACTTAGCCGAGAACTAATTCCTAAATCTTCTAATTGAAAGCTTATGATCTTTTCTGATTTCTTAGCTAAGATATTACTAAAAGAGAATATATCGTAAAATTTTTGTCACATCTTGCACTTCTATATGTCTATGATGCTAATAAAAATTTAAACTAATTTTTAATTCGTAGATAAAAATGAAATTATATTCATTGCTTCTCGAAGATCATTGTAGATGCTATTTTTATATAAATTTAATAAACGTAAAACATTGTTACTTCTTAATATTCAATATGTTTTTCCTGTCGATAAAAATAGTTACTTTCAGATAAGATAGAATAAAAAAGCATTCTACTCTATGATTATCTATGCACGAGTAAGTATATCAATACATCAAAAGAACTTTGCCCTTTTTTCTATTATGCAACTAGTTGGTGATAATGAGTGCAAATGCTTTTTTGAAATTCCATAAAACTAATTAATATAAATATCGAACGATTCATGTTCATCATGATTCGGATCAAATGTATGTTGTTTAATATCATCAATTGAATTCAAAAATTTTAATTCAAAATGAAAGTAGAATATTCTTTTTACTAAAATGATCAACGAAAAAAAAAAACTCTACCAAATGGACCAAATCAATAAATTTTCGGATACTTGTATTGACTATCCATGCAAACACTCTACTAACTGTAGACTGTGAGTTTTCTGTATAAGAATGTGCTATAAATCTGGATAAGTTAGTGAATAGGCATATCCTCAACCAGAGTGATACTGTAAATCTTGAAAAATCTTCGTATTTCTCCGATGAAGTTCCAGTATTTTATTTTATTTTTTGTTGACTAGTTCCAGCAAAAATCCTCACTCAATCTCACCGATTGGTGGTAAACTCAAACTGTGAAAAACAACTATTTTTAGAATTGTGAACATTTAAGAGCATGATAGTTTAAACAACATTACAGAAACCTGAAATCCATCGTTAAACTTTGTTAGAACATGTCAAGTTTTCTCTTTTTAGTACTATTATAATAGTTTTAAGGGCAACAGATATTCAACAGAAAGATACTACTGTAGACTACAATAGCATTAAAAAAACTTTCAAAAAATTTTATGATCACAAGAAAACGAGAGAACTCCAAATGACTCATTCAGTCAGAATATACATTGGAGATATTCTTTTGTTATGTGTCAGATTATTTTGGGACATTCTTTAGATAAAAAATTACGAGGATACTACGTTTTGTAATTTATCAGCATTGTACTGAAATATTCTATACGTTGATTGAATTTGTTTTTTTTTCCATAACTATTAAGCAATTTTTTTGTTAATTTTAAATTCATAAATATTTCAATAATAATAACAAATTTCGTATTCTAAATAATTTCTCTCCATAGATGTCACTCATTATCTTAAATTCTTTATGACGAGGCGAACAAAACATAATTCATGGCGACAATGAACAAAGATAACATCTGAATATGCTTTAGTTTTTTTATCGGTCAAGATAATTTAAAACGATTAGAACGCAATAAAAAGCAAAACAAAAAATAACCTATTCATTTAAAATCAATCAAAATGAAAAAAGGTTCTGTATTTGCTGGTAAAAAAGGTCCTTTAGCAACAAATTATGGTACTCCAGTTAATATATCATCAACATCATCTTCATTTTTTGATAATAGTCTTCAACAAATATCACATAATCCATTAGGAGGACCTTCAAGAAATTGGCAAGCAACACCAATAAATTCACATCGATTTCCATCGTCTCATTATTCATCACAACAACCAAATTCAACATCTACTATTCGAACACATCCTTTAATTACATCGGCTATTGTTACAAATACACCAAATTCAAATATAATTAATCGAGTTAAACCATATACACTTCAAGGTCTTGTTGAAAATCTCAATGAAGTAAAGAAAAAACAAAAGTATTATTTATTGATATATGAATTCTTTCGTTGTCTATTTAAAGTTACTTGCTGAACTTGCTATACCACATTCAATGCGTTATGATACAAAATATGGTTTTGAAGATATTCTTACTGTACTTGATGTATATATTTCATTAATTCGTATCTATATTAAATAAATATAATTTATTATATGTTTTTATTTTTTAGCATTTAACAAATCCAACACGTTATGAAACTCAACGTTTTCAACCATTTCCACCATTACCACAACCAACTAAATTAGGTGGAAAAATATCTTTAACTGATCGTTGGGCTTATTTAAAACAAGTTCTTTTATTATATCGTCTTTCAACAATTGAACAATTATCACGTATTAAACCAGAACGTGTTATGGCACATGATCATATGATGATTATAATGGAATTATTAATACAATTAATAATATGTGTAATTAAAAGTCAACATGAACAAGAACGTATAGAAACAAATAATTATTTAAGTGAATTTAAATTATTAATGCGTCAAATGTTTTGGATTGGAAGACATAATCCTGTAGTTATGGAAGAATCTATGTATGAATTACGACATCATGTTTATGCTAAAGATAATCTTGAAATAATTGATCGTTTACAACATGAAAAAAAAATCAATGAAATGACTATTGAACGTGATCAATTAAAACAACAAGTAAAATAATAAATAGAGTATAGAAGATACATTAGAGATTAAATCAATTCATTTCATAGTTATAGTATAGTTTTTTTGCAATGCAAGAAGAGATCATTCTTTTTTTTTTTTGATAATTTATTTTTCTCTCTATATTCCATTAAAATATTGAGTATGGTCTTCAATGAATTTATTTTTTGTCTGATTGCTAAAAGAGATCAAGGATAAATTTTTCGATGAAGCAAAAGTTCTAGAAAATCTTTAGATTGCATATAGATCAATTCAATTTTTTATTTTGATCATTTCAATTTGTAAATGAAAATCTATATTGAAATTAGACTTAGTTACGATCACACGTGATTGGTACTCGTGATCAGTTTGCAGGTCTCTAGTTAAAATATATTATTAGTAATCAACCAGTACATCAGATATAATTATATTTCGTTAAATCATACTCATAGGTCGATTTGATTTCTTATGTATCTGTATCATTTTTTATAATAGTTTGAAGAATTAAAAAAACATCGTGATGAACTTGAAAATGAATGTACAATATTAACAACAACAAATGAAAATGATATTATTGAATATACTCAAAAACAAGAAGAAGTATCCGATGAACAATCAAAATTAATTGAATTAACACAAATTGTTGAACAAAAAGGTATTTTTGAAGAACTAAAAAAATTTATTTCCTATTATAGTTTTTTTCTTATATTATTTAAGAAATGGATAAAAAACATTTAATTGATCGTAATCAATTATTATCTGATAAACTTTTTAGTCAACAAACTGATGTTGAATTACAACGTCATATTCGTTCAAATAATGAACTTAAACAACAACATGAAGTTCTTCTTTCGACATTATTTCTTGAACAACAATTACATACAACAGCAGCTAATGAACATAAACGACTTGTTAAAGAAGTAAAAAAAAATTTTTAGATTTTTATGTTAATCGTTACTACTTATAATAAATATTTGAATACTTTTTCATATCAGATGAATGTGTAATTCAAATGACATGAGATATATTAAAATTAAAATGATTTTTTTTTTGTTTCTTGATTCAAGTTTTTCATTAGAATATGAAAATTTTGCGTCTAAACATTTTAATTTTGAAATAATATCTAATTCATATTTTTGCATATATGTTTAAAAAAAATAAACATGTTTTTTTCTCTATTAGACTATCGTAAGATTTTATTCAGATAGAGCTGTTCAATAGAATAAAGATCCTTCACTATTCAGAAGAAAAATTTCACAAGGTCTTATAGAAATTCATGATAAGACGATGCCTTAAAAATTTTAGTTTTCAAACAGTTACAACGTAAAATCTTTAGCTATTATCTTCCGATTTTAATGATTTCTTATCTAATACATACTACACAGTGTTTTAATAAAAATTTTAATACATTTCTATTATTTATATTTAGTTACAAGAATGTCTTGGTAAATATCAAATATTACTTAGTGCTTATAAACATAAATCATCTCGACCAACACCATCAGCTGTTGATTTTGATTTAAGTGATATAATTGGTGATACAACATCAAATATAAATAATGATTCTGTTAAACAAGCACAAATAGCTATTGAAAATTTAACAAAAGATATTATTGCACAAGAAATTTTATTAACACAACGTCATCATGATCTTGAACAAGAATCTAAACAAGTAAATAAATTATTTTTATTATTAAAAAAAATTTTTTTTTTTCTTTGATTAGAAAATTGAAGAACTTCAAATTGCTGAACGTGAATGGAAATCAGTTACTAAACATGGTCAACGTCGTGCAGCTCAACAAACTGAATTAAGTCGTTTTCAACAAGAAATTCGTTTATTTACAACAAAAATTGTTGATCTTGAACGACGAATTGAAGAAAAAAAACTATTAACAATTGAATTAAAAAAAGAATTTGATCGAGTAAAATATTTTTTCTTTTATAGAAAAATAATAATTTTTTTTTGTTTTTGTTATTAATTTATTAGATTAAATCTGGTATTATTGAATTATTATCTCGTTTTGAATTATTAGAAACAAATTATATAAATAAAGAAGATGAATATCGTTTATATTTATCATGGTTTTTATTTGATCAATCACAATTAGCTAAAATTTATCGACGTGATGTTGAAGAATTAAAACGTTTACAACAAGAACATCTATCAAAATTAGATATTAATATTAATTTATTATCATTTGATGAACTTATTCAACAACAAATTAATAAATATTATCATTATAGAAATATTGATGATGATGATGATGATGATGATAATGAAATAGAAAATAATAATAATATTAAATTTATTCAAGAATTAGATAAATTACATGATGAACATATTTTATGGTTAAAAAAGAAGAAAAAAGATTTAAAAATAACAGCACCTATTGTTGAAAGATTACGTATGTTTTCTTTTCTTTTTTTTTGTTATTGAAATAAATTTTCTTTTCAGAAGAACTCTACGATCATTTACAAATTCTTAATGTCAAATAAATATCTTTATTATGTCAGATATATAAAATTATATTTGTTTTTTTTGTTTTTTATTGTATATTCTCTATTATCATGTCAGATAAATGAAATTAGTTGTTATGTTTAAAAAAATATTGTAAAGCATTGATTTTTGTTAAATAATAACAATTGTTATTAGTTTTAGATTATTTTGTTGAATCTTTAACTAACCGTATATATTGAATATGCATTTATATAGATGAAAATTTCATTGTTATTTTCTACAATTTATTTTTTCGATTAACAAAAATATTTAATCATGAACGATTCTGATGAAGATATTGATCCACTTATGGGTCCTATAGCTGATCTTATGGCTGAACATAATCTATCCTCAAAAACAACAACAACAACGAATATTCAAAAATCAATTGAAATTCTTGATCAAAAAATAAATATTCTTGATTATTTATCATTTTTAAATATTCATTTATTATTCAAAGATATCTTTAATTATATTCTTGATATTCAATGGTACAATTATATGAAAAAAATTTTTCCAAAAAATGAACAAGAAATATTTTTAAATCATTCACAAATATATTCATCATTAAAAAAATTAATTTTTTTCTTTATTGTAAGTATATAACTTTCTCATCTTTTATTAAACTTTTCTTTTTTTTTTTTATAAAGATCTATACAATAATAACTTTATCATTTCCATATATATTTCATATTATACTTATTATTGATATTTTATATGTTTTTATTATTGATTTTCTTTTTCCATATTATATTTATTATAATTGGTTTAATTGTTTAAAATCTATTCATCGATTTTTAAATACAATTTATAATCATCAACAATGGTTAATAAATATACAAGGTTTTCAATTAATTCGTCCAACATCATCATTATTTGAAAATCAATTATATCAATTTCGTTGTCGAATATTTGACGAATTAAAAAAACATTTTCTATATACACGTCAAATAGCTCGACAATATTCAATAGAAAATAAACAATTAATATGTTATATTGATATTAATGAATTTGGTTTATTAATAAATGAAAAAGATAATTTTGATTATGATAAAATAACAAATCAATATGATCAAACATTAATTAAATCATTATTAAAATTATGTTATTTACAAATAAATGAATGTATTCAATTAATACATATAAATCGTCCAAAATCATTTTGGATATTTTATAATTATAATAAATATTTATTAAAATCTATTAATAATATAAATAAAATAAAACAAAATTGTTCAATTATGATTGATTATATTGATAATGAAAAAATTACATCATCAAAAAAATTAATATCATCATATTTTTTACTTCGTTCTAATTGTGAACAATTATTTGAAATGAATGAAAATAATTATATTAATAATGAACAATTAAAACGAATTATTCAAGATCTTAAAACTGTTATTTATTTACTTGAAGGTATACAAATAAAACCAATAGAATTAATAAATCAAATAAATAATGAAGAAATAATCTCAAATGATAATAATAATAATAAGAAGAATTTATCTCATATAACAAGTTATCATCGTTTTGATGATCAAATAAAAGAATCTATTGATGAAATTCTTATATGTGATACAGGAAAATTAAATGATGATAATATGAAAGAGAATATTTTAGATATGGATGATTATGATAAAAAAATTTTACGTGAACAAACAAATTATCTTATGAAAGAACTTAATTTAGCTATACAAGGAAAAAAACAAGAATGGAATGAACGTGAACAACGTTTATTAGGAAATATAGATGATAATAATGATGAAATTCAAGAAGAAAAAAAACAATTTATTGATAATCAATCATTTGAAAAAGTATCGTCAACAATAAATACAATATCAATGTTAGATGAACTTAAACATACATTTGTATTAAATAAAAAAAAACTAAATATTCAAGAAGATATATTTGGAGAGGATGAAGAAGAAAATTTTGCTGATAATGACGATGAATAAAATTGTTTCATTTTATTATATAAAGAACAAATTGTTATGATATATTGGGATTGGGATTTATTCTTTTTATTTTGGTTTATTAAACAAGTAAGATGTATCTAGATAGAGAGAAAGACTTTTCATGAATGTCATAAACAATCATAGGTTGGCATTTTCAAGTTCATAGATTTGCTTACTTTCAAATCCATATCTTACTTTGCATATATATATATAAATATTATTTATTTAGTTTTAGATAAACTTAACGTAAATCGTAAAAAAAGAAACGAAATAATAATCGAAAAGACAATGTTTGAATTAAACGATCTTTTCGATACATTTCTCTTTCGTACAACAACATTAACTGGTTTTTTATTTTATTGGTTACCTATAATATGTATTTTTTCACCAACATATTTAAGTCCATTTGCATTTGTTGATTCAACTCAAGAATTTAAAGCATATCGAATGGTTCAATATGATTTATATGGTCAAGCATATGGTAGTCGACAAGCATTTATTTCAAGTGAAGTTCGTTTATGGTCACATACAAATCTTAATCGAAAAGCTGTATTAATACGTTTAGAAAAATTAACAATTGAACGTTTTCGTTCACTTATATCTAAAGGTATTAATAGTTTATTTATTGTTATACCATCAACAAATACACCATCATGGACAAATGAACAAAAATCAGATATATGTGATTTAGAAACAATTTTACTTGGTGAAAGTATTTCAATACCGGTTTATTTTCTTCCTGAAACACAACAAATGAATGATTTATATAAATCAATTGAATCAAGACGTGATTCAACTAAAGATTCAGCATTAGCTGTTCTTTATGATATGATTACAGCTGATGGTTATCAATTATCAGTTACTACTGGAAAATATGGTCAAAGAACAGATAGTGTTTTATATAATATAGTAGGAAAATTAATTGGTCATGGTATTGAAGAACGTTTACCAAAAATTCTTATTGTTGCTCATTATGATGCACTTGGTATAGCAAATGGTTTAATACAAGGTGCTGATTCTAATGCAAGTGGTGTTTTAATTTTATTAAAATTAATACGTTTATTTTCAAAATTATATGCTAAACAAACAACACGAGCAAAATATAATTTACATTTTTTATTTGCTGCTGGTGGAAAATTAAATTATCAAGGAAGTAAAAAATGGATTGATGATTATCATGATCAAAAACATCAACAACAACTTCCAAATGATGTTGATGTTGTTGTTTGTCTTGGTGAGATTTTTTTTCTTTATAAAATACAAACATTTTTTAATGAAATCAACTTTTTATTATAGATTCATTGGGTCAATCAAATGAACTTTATATGCATGTTTCAAAACCACCAAAAGAAACGCAAGCGGTATGTTTTATTAAGATATTATTTCGAATATAATTTTAGTATAAATATTAAGTAGCAATGGAGTTTTTCGACTTCAAATTTTTTTCGTAGAGAATTTGGCCGTGTGAAGATATAAGTTTTAGTTCCGAGAAAATAATTGCATGATGTTTTCATACAAATTCGAAGAGCTTACATAAGAAGTCGTCTATGAAGAACGTTCGAACATTCATTAAGATTTAGACAATTTGTACAATATTGTCACTTTCAATTGGTTTTTGATTAGCATTTTTTAACAAAGTATCTTTTCAAAATTCTATGATACATCGTAATAAACTAAAAGATGAAAAGAGAGGACTCAATCGAGATCGGATGAAGTGAAGATCAAAGAATGTGATTTTTACTTGGACATGCTCTATGGATAATCCATAAATTCTCTACACTTATATTTGCAAATATGCACAAGAACAGTCCAAAGCTTCGTTCATTGCTCTATCGTTTCAAAACATCTAATAATAGGCTGAAAATTTAGTAGAACAATTTAAATAGTAATATGATTCCTATTATTTCGCAAGCGAGTTCTATCTGCAATGAAATGAAACAATTTTTAAACATTTTTGTATCCTATGAGATTAGCCGATGTTATGCAGAACTCTGTTTTGCAGTATTTACTGGTAACAATGATAATTCTCTTTGAATTTAATTTATGAATTCAGCACGCAAGATACAGAGATCCGACAACATCATAATTATATTTTGAAAACCAATAATAATATCGATAATAAAGTCAGATATCAATTAGTTAATAGTGATAGAACTGTGTGAAAATAAATATTTAGCATTTACTAGGCTTTGAAATGATATTCTAGTGTTTTTTGAAAACACAAAAATAATCTACATAATGTTCAAAATCATTTATCAATAATTTCATATATTCGTTAACTTCTTTTGTTCTTCATTATTTTTATTGATTATTCTTAGCATCTATAAATCCTAATCTAATTTGATTGTTAAACAATAATGTTTCTAACAAGAAAAGTCTATAATAATAATTCGTTTCCGACATTTACAGTCATCAAAAATTTATTTTTGCAATATAGTTAGTCTATCTTTTTAAAGTGAATCAAAATGAATTGATGTTTTCATATATATTTTTTGAATTTCTAGGCTGGTATTTTACGCGAACTTCTAACAGAATTAAGTGAAAAATCAACTTATGGTTCATTAAATTTCGAACAAATACATAAAAAAATATTAAAAACAAGTGATTTTGTTGCATGGGAACATGAAAAATATTCATGGTCAAAATTACCTGGATTTACTTTATCACATTTAAATTCATCTAAATCATGTTCACATTCATCTATAAGTGATATGCGTAATGATATTCAATTAGAATCAATTGAACGTTATTATCAATATATAAGTGATGCATTAATACGTTTAATATTTAATAAAACGGATATAAATTTATCAATTGTTGATCAAACTTATTTATTATCAAATCAACAATCTGATTATGATCAAATAACATTTACAAAACAATGGTTAACATTTTTAACTAATTATTCACGATCACCATCATTATTAACTAAAACTCATCCAGTTGTTGTTGCACTTGAACAATATGCTCATCGATATTTAACTAATGTTGTTAAAACAACAATACGTCCTAATAAAAAAGATCCAGAATTTGTATTTTTTGATGGAGATGATGATCAAGGACGACAATTATATGTTTATCGTATTAAACCAGCTATATTTGATCTTGTTTTAGCTATATTTATTGCTGCCTATCTTGGTATTATCTATATGATAGCCGCCAATTGGTCGATGATAATTAATATTCTTTTACGTTATAAACCATTAACAAATACATTTTTATCATCATCATCACAATATGGAGGATATAAACGTAAAATCAATTAAATCAAGAATTTTATATTTAGAACAAAAAGCTTCCAATTTTTTTTTTCTTTTGTCTCGCTGTTGTTTTGTTACCTTTGCAATGTCTTTTACAACCGGTTGTTGCCGTTTCTTTCTTTCTTTCTTTTTTCTTCTTAGAATAAATTTCACAAGTAGAAAGAAGTAGAAATTCTAGAATTATTGATTTAAAAGAGAATATATTGAGCATTTTATTGTTACGATGCGAAGCACTGCATTACAATTGTTTGCGAGTTTTTAAAATTTTTTCAACACATATATTCTGTCTTCATTTCAATTATCTTGAAACTTGAAAAACAAAAGAATTCACAAAAAAGGAGAAGATCGCCATGAAGCGAAACCATTCGTACTTTCTCTATAAAATTCAATTATATGCTACCGATTTTACTCATTTTCATTGCCAGGCATCGTCAACTGATAAAATTCGACCTTTTAATGCATTTGATACTGAAGAAAAAGAAATGCCAAATATAATAACTACATATAGGGTATCTCAAAAGTCATGATCACTTAAGAATTGCGTATAACTCTATTATTAAGCAAGTTTTATCTAATAATTTGCTTTTATTTAGAAAAGAAGACTAGTAAGTTTTTTTTTTCATAAATACGAAATTCTAAAATACTCTTCGATAACAATATATTTAATTTCAACATAAAAACTTAAAGATTTTACATTTTCAAAAAAAAAAACACATCATACAACGTTTTAATATTATTAAAACCATTTCTTTCGTTATTCAAGTCGTTAAATTAGAGTGAACTTTTATGGTTGTTTTGTAGACATTTGGTTTAAGATAGACGCATAGATAGAAGTCCAAATATGTCAAGTCTAGAGGTCGAGAGGCCCATACTATTGGAGCACTCTTTCCAGTTCACCTTACATCGATGATAAAATACTAACCTAAGATGAATATTTAGATCGATTAAGTAATTCTATGATTTTTCAGCAAGATACAGTACCGATTCGTCTTTTGAAATCTGTCCATGTGTGGCTGAACCCAATCTTACGTGACAGGTAAATTGGAAGAAGTGCTCCGATGGTATGGACCTCTCGACCTCTGCACTTGACACATTTGGACTTCTATCTATGCGTCTATTTCAAACCAAAGCTCTACAAAACAACTATAAAAGTTCTCTCTAATTTAAGGACTTCAATAATAAAAGAAATCAATATAATAATAATAAAACGTTGTATGATGCTCTTTTTCTGAAAATGTACAACCTTTAAGTTTTTGTGTTGAAGTGAAATATATTTTTATTGAAGAGTATTTTAGAATTTCGTCTTTATGAGGAAAAACTTACTGATCTTCTCTTCTAAATAAAAGCAAATTAAGAGATAAAACTTGCTTAATAATGAAGGTATATGCAATTCTTAAGTAATCATGACTTTTGGAACACTGTAGAATGAAGATTAATTCTAAGTTTATTGTGGAAATTTTGGAATGAAATTATGAACAAAGCCACAAAAGTACGTCAATAAATTAATGAAATTTGTTCCTAGTCCGCTCATTTCATTTATGCGTCAATGTGTTCGGTTTTAGCGTGTTTTTGGCAGCCAAAATTTGTTGGCGTACCATGGGAATTCTTTCTACGTGTGCGATCCAATTACCGACAGTTGATATATCATAATTCACATTGTTTTCTTCCATCTTTTTCAACCGCCGCTGATAATTTCGTTGGAGTTTTTCAATCTGAACATGCAAGTACGTATTCAAGTGGTTATAGTTATAGAAACAACCTTCTTCAACTACCATATCATTTAAAACGTTCAGAAAGCGATCACAACTTAAATGGACATCTACCTGCTTGAGAAAATAACCAAGGTATATACTTGCGTCAAGAAGCTGGGTTTTCAAGTCTTCCATATTTTCAGACTTATATTTTTTTCCATCGATTACTTCGTATTCAAGTAGATAATCAATTTTCACATGTTGACTTGATTTACATGAACAATCGTAACATTCATCAATGTATTTGTGTGCTACATAGTATGGGATTGAAACTTTTTCATGTCGATAAACATTAGGTTTACATGAATAACACAAAGCCGATGGATGTGAAATAGGCTTCGGACGTAGCTCAACAAAGATAGGCGAATCTAGATCCTTGTTTATAATACCATTTCGAAGAATGTTTCGCATTGATTCCAACATTGGACGAATCATTCCCATAGTTTTGAGTCGAAAATATTCAACCTTGTTGCATTCTTGGCGAATAAAGTATGGTGAAAGACTTTTGTGCGTATATTCTAGAAGACGATCCCATGATTTTTTCGAAATTGACCAACCTTCTTCACATGACATTTTCGGATGATCAGATGAACGCCCTGTAATCAAATCAAGAAAGAAGCTGTTGTCAAAGACAAATGTATTCTCGCAAGCGAAAGGAATCTTGGTTGGCAATAATTGAAGCATTGTTTGAACTTGTGTGTTATATTTCTTGCCAATAATCGAACTAGACAAATATTTGGTGAAACAAAAGAGGATATTGTTACGGACGTTATTTCCTAGGAAATTTAGTATCTGTTCTAAACATTTTGCATAGACATGGAGTTCTGGATCTCCTGGTTCAATAAGAACACAGATGGCGTTCAGATGCGTTAGTTCAATAATGCATGACAATATACGTTCGATATTTGTTTGATTAGAACCTTCTTCGTCTACACTATGCAAACCGGGCGTATCAATTATTCTTAGCTTGTGACCGTAATCAGTATCAAATGTATACGATTTACAATTTTGAGTCACCGAATGTTCAGGATGATCGTAGTCTTCATTCGGATCATCTTTTCCAAAATGAGCAAAATGCTCTTCATTGTCATTTATGATCCTATAGATAAACGAGATGATCGGAGAAAATATAGATACTTTGGATTTGACTTCGTTGTAATTGCTACATTTTAAATAATGCTCAATCATATTAACGAACATTGATTTACCAACTCCTACTTTTCCTAGAAGGAGAATATTGATGGCTTGATCAGTGTTGGACATCAATGAAGCAATGTCATGTGATTCTTCCTGTTTCATTATCGCAGACGTGTTTCTATCGATATTTCGACTGTCGTTAGTCGTGGGAAAAGTTTTAATCGTATTCAAGTCGTAGTCACAATAGGTAAAATCTACATAGAGCAAATGCAGATTCGTGGCTGTTGCTTGATTATTGCTCATTTGCGAGCATAGTTTTTTAAATTGAGCCCAATTTTTGTCGTTTAAATTATCATTCGAGCAAAGAATAAATTGTTCATTATGTTGCATGAGTTTATTCTCAATCGTCCTGTCATCATCGTCCTGTGTCACACCAAACTCTTTTGCATTCCGATATGTGAAACCTTTTTTGCTTAAATAGGCGAGCAAACTACCTTTTTCTTTCAAAGTCGTCAAAGAATCTACGAAATTGTCGACACTTTGTCTCAAAGTTAGTTGTTCGTCGTCGGTCAATAGTTTCCGATTGATCGCCTGCTGTTCATCAGTGCCTTGACGAATCTTAAGAATTACGTTTCGACATCGTTTTTTTTCCTCATCATATTGATATGTCAATCGGTTGTATTGATTCTGCATCTTGTCCAAGTGTTCTTTCAGATAAGTTTTTAGTAAAACATAGGTTTCGTCTTTGCGAAATACTGTCCACATTTTCTCAACATTTGATAATAGAAGCAAACTATCTTCGACTCTCTCAGCAAGTTTTGCTCCGAGTGAAAACAGTCTACGCACATTTTGCTCATTATAGGGATAGAGTATTGTGATAGGATGAAGGATATAATTACATGGTCGATGGTCAGCAATATTTTTTTTTATATTGCCTATGGCTTCGTACAAATCAATCATTGACCTCGATTTTGTTAAAGAAAGTATATTGGAATAGATATGCATCGAAGGAATATGATTGAGTAACATCGCATCATCAGGTAGCTCCATATCATCTTTCAAAAATGTGCATATTTTATTCAACACTTTATCTATCGGTTTCGAATCAGTAGGTGGCAATTGTAATACAGCAATAACATCGATACCCCAATCGATACCAATGATAATATGAGTAGCATCAGAGGTATGCTTTGATCGTTGGTTGGATTTCTCGTCAAGTAAACCCTCTTTTCGAACCATATAGGAATAATAGAGAACGCGAGTGTTTTCATCGATCACAAACGGATAATGAACAACTGAAGCAATACCCGTCGGTTTCACGATATCCGATGCCACACTCAGCCGAAGTTCACTGTCGAAACCGGCGACTCGAAGTAAATTTCGCAAGTCAAACTCGCTACCACTCTTAACATGGCATTGAATTGGTATACATGTGGGATCTTCCTTGATTTTGATAGAAATATCCGATGATGATACGATACTGTCCCGCCATCCATCATACAAACATCCAACATAGCCCGAAGGATCTATTGCTTTGCGTTCGATGGTGACCAATGACAAATTAATCATCGGGCCATAATCATTGTTGATGTTTCCTTCTAATCTCGAGACGGAAGAACGATTATGCGCAATATGGTAAGAATTATATAACGCCCCATTTTTCGATGTCTTATGATTGAGTGACCAATTATACCCTTCGCAAACGATCCAGTTACTAACATGACTGATGAAATTCTTCGCATAGACACGTTTGCACCATTTGTTAGGTAGATCCTGATATCCATAGACAGCACCGGCTAATTGACCATAGATGGCTGCTGTTGTATCAGTATCGTCGCCCAGATTAACAGCCTTAAGAGCACCTTCCTCGAACGAATTATTGTCACTCCAAAATGCCCACAAAGCAGCTTCCAGTGCACTAACCACATAGCCTTTACCTCGAATTCCTTCATTATACCCACCGGATTTTTTGTACGAACCTTGAGCAATCTTTAAGATGTCCGTATGAAGCGGCTTTTTACCGAACCATTGTTTATGATCCTCATAAAATTTATCGCTGATTAATTCGTCTTTTAATACACCATGAAGTGCAGCGACAATAAGAGCACCGTAATAACGGCATGCATCGTATGCTTTGTCATCTCCATGAGTAATTCGACCACTTTCACCTGAATATTCGACAGCTTTTTCAGGAATTCGATAAAAGAAAAGCGGTACAGGTGCTAAACGCATAAGAGCACCATTACCGGCCACTCCTTCTTTACTGCAATTCACGTTAAACGCTTGAAGAAGTTCAGAACTCAAGGTATTATCCATCTCTTCATACGAAATATTCCAGGCTTTCGCAAATTTTCTTTGTCTTTTTTCAAATTCTTGAATAGCATTTTTCGTAGCCGCACCTATATCAAAGCAATGTCCAGTTGATGACATATAACCATACCGATACCACCACTTGTAACGAACTAATTGGTCGTACGGCACAAAATCCCCACAAGCAATCAATGAATTAGCCAAACAAAGAGCCATGGATGTGTCGTCGGTAAACTGGAAACAAAAGTCAAACGATTACTTTGCAGCAAAAAAATATAATCGTCTCATTATTGAAGAACTTTTTAGAATATTCAATATTTTTTCAGTATTCTATCTCTAACATAGTGAAGAGAAATATAGTCCATCTCGCAAACTGAAATCTATTAAATTATCCTGACAATTGAGGCTTATAGAAGAGTTGTCTTAATATAAACATCAGTCCTCGCCTTCACTAGTACCCGTACGAATCATTTTTACATATTCTTTGAAACGGTATAAAAACTTGCAGTTCCTTAATCCAGGTGGAAAAGATTAAAACAGGCTTTTGTTTTACTCTTTGAAAAACTATTATAGATTATTTTTTTCCACAAGCATTTGCTGATAATTTCAATATAGAACTTGTTTAAACATCGAGAAACGTGAAATCGTCTCATGCTTTCATGTTTCTTCAAGGAAATGGTTATCGACAGAGATATTTATGTCAAAGGAGATTTTTCATTTTTTCGTACCTGTCCTTTTTCGAGACCCCATGTTCCTCCCCCTGTAAGATCTGTGACCGGATTGGCAGCCAAGTAACTCTGAGGTCTAAACTCTACGTGAGCACCAAGAGCATCACCCAAAGCCAAACCAAACATTGAGCCTTTAATACGATCCACTATATCATCTTCATTTATTAACGGTTCATTATATTTCGTGTCGATTTGGATCTGATCTGGTTTCTTGATGACTTTCTGATCGGCATCATCAAATTGTAAATTGAGCCAAGATTTGTCTATTAAAAAGAAAGAATTAGCGCTAGCATTGATAGTTTTGTTTAATCTAAGAAAAACGTATTCATTTGACTTTTTTTTTAAATATATAAAGAAGTTGAATGTCAAACAGATTATTTGTAGTGTCTGAACAAATAATCCATGGTTACCTGATTGATTTGTGTTATTTGGAGCCATTTACTTGAGTTTTATTATTCCTATAACAATAAGACAAAAACGAATCTTATTCAACTAGATTCGATTGAAACATTTCTCTAGAACAAAAGTTAGGCATTAAAACATATATTTAGTATCTGTCAATATGCTCATACTTTCTGACCAATGAGACCAATGATAATCATATAAAAGTTGAACTTAATTGAACAATATTAATGCATCTTTGTTATGTCTATCGATTGAATTTGACTAAATAGATATCTTAGATTCTCTATATCTTCTAAATGAATATACTATTCGGTACCAGTATGAAGAGTTGTTTTCAAATTCAGAAAATTCAGCTAAGAGATTTGTTCTTAATTTATCGTTATTTTTCTCTTATGATATCATTCTTTTCTTTCCGTATTTTCGAATTGCGTTAATATCGCTATAGTAGTTTTCTGCATTTTCAACTATTCTATAATGATATTCGATTTGGATAAGACTATGTAAAATAAAATAAGCAGAGCTTTTCACGAGAAATAAATACATTCATCGCGTATAAACAATGTCTTCAATCTATTTTTTAGAAAATCAATAAAGGAAAACAACACAAAAATTTCTTTTCCAACCAGAAGCAATGTCTCTTTAGAAATGAGAATCCTTTATGATAAATACCGAGAAACTACCACAAATAAATAGTTGATATACTGATCGATATACTATACTTTATACTGGCGGTTGACCACTGGTGTTTTTCTACAACTATTGTATCATTGTATATTATATAAAAACGAATGAATACTTTCGAAGTTTTCAAAACTAACAGGATTGAGTCAGTTTTGAATTACACTGATATCTTTGATGCGTCTGACGCGAGCCGTCTGTATTAGAAATAGAGCTAAAAGCGGTATTCTTTATGAGATAAATTTTTGTTATAGATGGCGCTACACAAACTTTATTAGTCAAATATATTCTGAAACCATTTTCTTCCCATGGAGTAAAATATTGAAGGAAACGGACTGCGTAACGCGTTTCCGAGATTGTAGCATGCGTTTCGCAACGTTTTTGCAATATTGGACGCGTTTCGCAGCATTCTTACTTACATAGAATGCGTTTTGCCACAGTCGTTTTTTGAAACGATCCGAAACGCTTTTTTCAAGATTGCGTTTCGAGGCGTTTCCGAATTAAAATGCTGTCGAACGCACTTTGGTTGACTGGCGACGCGTTGGACAGATACAAATTGGGGGGGAAACGTAAAACGCGTTTCTTTTTCAAATGTGTGTTGCATTGTTTTTGCTTGGAATGATGCAAAATATATGCATTCTGCGTACAGAATCTTGCAGAAACTCACCAACACAAAGCATATGAGTTCAGCAAAGTAAATTCTTTAAAATTACTTTGGAAATGATATGAAATAGCACTTGAAAGTTTTGCTCCTGGCACTATTTTTGTACGTGAAAATCATGACCCTGGATTTTATGAAGGCAAGACTAAAACCAAAGTCTTCGAAATTTTTAGGCTGCTAGGCTGTTATCTAGACCTAATTCGAAGTTAGACTAATGTAAAACATCAAAGTGTAACAAAAAATATATTCTTCTTACTTAAAAACTCATTTCACCACGTTTTTATTGAAAGAAAACGTGTTTCGTAAGGTTTACTTAAGAATTGTTTTAAATATTGAGCATTTCGAAAAGATTTAGTAAAGACTGATACTAATATAAGTAGTATAGCAACTCTCTTTGGTTATTTGTGAACAAAAGAATCATCGCGTTATCTATAATTTGAATAATTATTAGTTTGAGTTCATACTCGAACTAGTTGATAATAACTAATGATACTGTGTACAATACTAGTAAACATGATTTTAGTTTGTACATTGTTGAAGTAAGAGTGACTTTTTAATAAAAGAGATTCGATTTACAAAAGAAAACTCCTTTCATTTATTGATGTAATTGCATAAAACGATGACCGATTTACATTCACAAAAATCTATTAATCAAGAAAATAAATAAAAGATTAAATTTTAAATTTTTTAAAATTTATATATAAAAAATTTAATTTTTTATATATTAAATACAGTGTAAATCGATTAAATTCGTTTCTATTGTGTATCTAAATTTAAATCTGAAAGAGTTTAAATAAAAAATGTATCAAGAAAAGACCATACTCGTAATTGAACATAGGCACCAAAGAAATGATAATTTTTAATTCAGTGGAATGGAAACTGAAAATCTAATTTAGTAAGTTTACGGGGGACTCTAAATGACAGTAGAATAAACACATATATCATTAGATTATTTTAGTTGAACGGTTTGTATACATGTCTCATACCCCTATGTTCTCGTGTTCGAATCCGTGTCTTGACTGCATCAAAATTCATGTAAGTTATAGTTCTAAAGGCCAATGAAAAAATGTAAACGAATACATAAATTGTACCTGCAATTCAAGATCTATGAAATCATTGACGATTTTCAATTTTTTTTCCATCTAGAATTTACGACACCGCAGTTTGAGAAACGCTGCGAAATTTTTCACAAAAACAATCGTTACACAGCGTTTGTTTTAGCAGATGTGAAACGCGTCAAACCGGTCAGCATTAATGCGTTTCGCAGCTATGGAAAAACGCGTTTTCAGAACGCGTTTTTTTCGCAGAAATTTACACCATGGGTTCTCCGTTAAGTTGAATTTTTTTCTGATAAATCGCTCGACTTTTGGTAAAACACACTTTCTGTAGTCGCTTATAGCCGAAACCAAAACAAAGGTTGAAGCCAGAGTTCCCGATCTGAGTGAATTTCAAAAAGATACAAATTCCTTGTTTATCAAAACGCTCTCAGAACTATCTTCTTTTTTATCGACAGTGTAACGAAAAAGTAAGAAGAGATGAATGGATGATGTTCTACTTTGTTACCAATTCAGTGTATGTTTTATTATAATCAATATTGATAAATCAGAGGAGTGGCGTTACCACTACCTTCGATATAGATGTTCACTATGCTACTTCATCATTCCAGTTGTTTCTATTTTACATAGGAAACGAGTTTATATACGAGAGAGAGAAGGAAGAAGTAGTGAAGCCATATGAGATGTTAGTGAGCAGACAATTACTAACTTTCAAGAGGTTAGAGTGTCTAACCACATAATGTTCGATTGTTCTCACATTACTGAACCGATAGAAGGTGAAGATAGATTGTGATCTTACTATTAGTACACACAGTAATTTTTCTTCTCTATGATTTGAATCACGAGTTGGTGCTATGCATAACAAATGACTCAAATCAGATATGGAGAATGACATTCTCTGCATCAATAATTTTCTTAATTCTTCATATTTATGTACTTAGATATTATATAGTTGTATACACATTCATATCACATTGTGAGGATTCACTCACTGGACTACAATAATATAAAGTTGACTTGAAAATGTACAAAAATGTAAGTGTTGCCGCTTAATTTCAATGTGAAAATGTAATGCATTATCATGAAACAACGTTTCATTTACAAGTTGTTTTAACAACCCACCTTATCTGTGTTCTTTTTCTTCTATTCGTCGATTCTTTTTTACATAATGTGCATATTGACACAGACATACAGTACATCATACGAAGCGGTGGTAAAGAAAGCAGACAAATAACTCAAGATATAAACATAGGATGCTAAATGCATTATAGTCCGAGGCTCAAATAAAGACTCATTGAATGATAATCTTTCTTGCACCACTCAATACTATAGCATAGAGGAAAAACAGTTATCATAAAATTCCTTTTTTTCTTCTGCTTCACTCTGAACAGCGACAAAATAAAGAATAGTATCGGTAATTGAAGGTATGAATGTGCGCGGTGATTGTGAGCGATCCCTATCCATTGTCACACTCATATTCTCTCTACATTCTTTGCCGTGTCTTGAAGCTAATCATATAAAATTCAAAATGCTTTCGTTAGTTTTTCGAATCTTCCTAATAATCGACTCACCACAATCAAATAATAAACACTAATGCGTTGTTAATAATTTCAATAATGCGTTATTGTTGATCGGAAGTTTCAGCGACTTGTAATGTTTGCTTGCTTTTATCCAAATGACTCGTTTTCT